CCACAGATCATTCACAGAGACCTCAAACCAGAAAACATATTAATTGCAGAAAATGTAAGAACCGGTAGATTTGTTAAGTTATATGACTTTGGTTCGGCTACTGTTCACGAAAAACTCATTCATTGCCGAGCGTCTCAAAAACATACCGCAGATGTGGGAGACCTCCGATATATAGCACCTGAAGTATCTCAGGGCAAGAAATATAACCATAAATGCGATGTTTATAGTATAGCACTAATTTCAGCCAAATTATTTGAACTAGATCTATTTAATCTAGTATTACAAAAATACAAATTTTGGCATTGTATTAATAATTTCCCGAAAATGTGTGCTAATCTATTTTATAATAGCAAAAAATCGATAAAAAATAGTGCATTAGAAGCACCGGTAGGTAACTTGAAGCTCATATTAAGCACAATGATGTCAACCCCTGAATGGCATCAAAGGCCGGAATGCAGTGAAGTATTGTCTGATTATAACGAGTGGTCTATCGATAGGAATATTCTCGCAAATGACCCCCGATTTGACGGAATATTATGTAGACTTCAATCCAATGACAATCAGTTTTTCTATGAATTCTTGTCATATAATATAACCCAAAGCCAACACAACTACCGGTAAACAGAGAATCAATGAGTTTATTGAAAGGTTTTATACAGTTTTTATGCGTTATATTTATATCTTATATGTTGTTAATATTTTTAAAATTATTTTATAAATAAATAATTGGTTTTATCTACAAACTTATAAATATACTTTATTGAATTATTTATACCGTATAAAAGTTTTAAAAAATAAAAATATTTTATTAACATATTTAATTTTGTTGTTGTGACAATCTGTAATAGAAATAATTTTAAATAAAAGTTTTATTATAATTATATAATACTGTATTTAGTTAATTACGACAAAAATATTTACCTGTTAAATAAATGTTGAAAAACTAATTTTATTATAATTTAGTTGGTATTTTAAAACACAACTTTATTTTATAAATTAAATATTGTTATAACAAATTGAAAACTATTATCACTTAGATTACAGTAAATAGCTATTCATAATAATTGTAAAAATATAATTATTGAATTAAATTAAATATTAAAATTATACAGATAACTTTATATAAATACAGTATACAGATATAAGTGGTAAAATATAGTTAGATAAAATTCTTTTAAAAAAAATAAATTTACCATTTTTTTCAATAGTAGCTTAAGCAATTATAATAAAACTTATAATATGACAAAATAACAAGATAAATAAGCTACCCAAGGTATAGCTTATTTTTAGCTTTAAATAATAATGGGATATATGCCAAAAAATAGTATTGCTTATACGTTACTACAAATTGAATATATTTATTTTGTGTCAACTGGTTTTGACGTTAATTTTGACATTGATATTTTTTAAATATTGAATTGCATTATGCATCTCATTAAATGATAGTCTAAACGTTTCACAAAGCTATTTATGTGAGTTAAAAATATTATTCAACAAATACAGTATATTACAACATTAAATATATAATAATACTACCAATTCTGATTGGAATTAAATTTGATGTAAATTATAATGCCAATATAATTGTTGTTTTAAAATTATATTAATTAAATTGTGTCAACATAGATATTATAAATTTAAACGTGCTAAATTTTTATAAATATTGTTAATGAGTAGCAATGTTAATGTTATGTTAATGCGCCATTATTATTAGCTTTTTATTTGACTGAAGGGCGTTCACGATTGAGTAGACATATTGCTCAATTATTGTAATAATAAGTGAGCTCTAAAAGTGAGTATCACGCACAATTAGTGTTGATAGTCGTAATACAAAAGGTGATAATTTGTACTATATGGAACTCGCTTGTTAAAATTGTGTTTGATTGTATCAATTACACAATGTGGACCCAGCTTGAACAGTTTATGATTTGTGATAATATACCTCAAAGAGACAAAGAAAATGTCGTATTGCTACACGTTTTCAAGCAATACAATGAAGACACTGAAATTGTAGCTGGTTGCAATTTTTTTTACGCAACAAACGATGATTCCGTTTACGGTTTCGGCGATAATATTCACGGGTGTCTCGGTTTGGGTCACAACCGGGCGGTCGATACGCCGCAACTAATCCCAGAGTTGTGTGGAAAAAGTTTTAAACAATTTGTCATCGGATATGACTTCGTGTTAGCTATCACTGATGGTAACCAAATATACAGTTGGGGTCACAATAATCGCGGTCAATTAACCAGAGAAATTACGCCAAGCGGTGTTTATTTAAAGCCGAAAGTCATTGAATATTTTAACGACAAAAATATTTTGCAAATTAGTTGCGGTTCCCAACACTCTCTGGCCCTCAGCGCTGATGGACAGGTGTACGGGTGGGGTGTTAGGTATAGACACACATTGCATGTACCGAGATATGAGAGCATTTTTACCCCGTATGCAATAAAATTTGACGACGATGCTAAAATAAAATCAATATATTGCTACGAAAAGGGCTCACACGCCATCACCCGTGACGGGCACGTGTTCAGTTGGGGCGTTAATACACATAATCAGCTAGGTTTACACAGCATTGATCTCCACTTGGACAATTTTTTTAAATATATATACTTTGGATTCATGCGAATAAGACCAAGTTTTATTGATCCTGGTATACATAACCGTCCCAGACTAGTGCCGGGCTTAATCAACATCAAATCAATATGTTCATCAAATTATATAACCTTTTTCCTGTCACACACGGGACGTGTGTTTTATTGCGGTTTTGATGGCTCTACATTCATTTTAACACCGATAAATTACACCTCACACTATGTAAAAGCAATTGCAAGCGATCGTTCACTTATGGCATTTAGCATAAACAATAATATCTGGGAAGTGTGGACCAATAAGGAGCTAAATGAAAATAAAACTGAATTTCATAATTTTATCGACTATTTCCGTTATAAATCGCAAGTAACAAACGGAACACTTAAGCGGGACTATGTCATTGGAAATCAGATAGATGTCGGAAGTGGATTATGTGCAGGTTAATATAATATTTAATTACAAAACTTTATATGTCATGTTAATAAATCTGTACGTGAGTGCGTAATGTATATTTAAAAATTCATCAATCGTTTGTTTTACTAGATAAAAGTATCTATAAAAGTCAATATGACGAGTTATCGCAAATTGGTTCCGGAGGTTTTGGAACTGTATTTAAAGTAAAACATAAATGTGATGGCGAATTATATGCGATTAAAAAAATGAACATCAATGGTATGGTTAGAAATATTTATTACTATATATATATTGTATAAAATTGTAATTACGAATTTAAATATATAATATAGATTTCAATGTTGATGATAAAGGTAACATAAATGAACTAACAAACTTAGTAAAAGTCCGGTCAGAATATGTGGTCCAGTATTACAGCTCATGGATTGAAAGGAATGAACTATACATTCAAATGGAGTTGTGTTGTTATAACCTTCAGAATATTCTTGAAGTTAAACCACAAGTATTTGGTCGACAGTTAGGCCAACCTATGGATTGTGTCGAGTATTTCATTTTGTGCGAAATATTCCGTCAGATCTTAGAAAGTGTTCAGTATTTGCATGAATTGAATCCACAGATCATTCACAGAGACCTCAAACCAGAAAACATATTAATTGCAGAAAATGTAAGGAACNGTATTTGCATGAATTGAATCCACAGATCATTCACAGAGACCTCAAACCAGAAAACATATTAATTGCAGAAAATGTAAGGAACGACAGGTTTGTTAAATTATGTGACTTTGGTTTGGCTATAGTTCACGACAAACGCTATAATTCTCCAACATCTAAAAAACACACATCAGATGTGGGCACAATAAAGTATCAAGCACCTGAAGTTAATCACAGTGAGAAATATGGGCACAAAGCTGATATCTATAGTCTGGCATTAATTGGTGGCGATATATTTGAATTAGATTTATATAAACAGGAAAGTAAAAGGTAATCTCAATAAGTGATACTGTTTAAAATATTTGATTTTAATTTTTAAAAATTATTTATTATTAAAGTTTAAAATATAATTCTAATAAAAACAAACCATTGGCCAAATTAAGGACAATATTAATCTCAATGATGTCGACCCCCTTATGGTCTAAACGCCCGGAATGCAGCAAAGTATTGTCTAAATATAACAAGTGGTCTACCGATAGGAGTACTCTTAAAAATAATTTGCAATTTGAATCCACATTAAGTTCACTTCAATCCAATAACAACCAGTTTTTCTATCAATTCTTATCTCATTTATGTGGTCATGACTTGCAATAAATTTCCCATTTTTGTCATTATTTTATTTGTAAACTAATTTAGTTAGTATTTTGAGATATAAAATTTCTACCCTCTCAATCAATATCACATGAATAAATAATTAATTTCTAAACAAACTTTTATAATTTTTCTGAATTATATTGTTTATATATATATAAATTTTACACATATAAATATTTTGTTACCGTAATATTTTTTGCTGTGTAAATTTGTAATACAACGATAAAGTATTTAATACTGTATTAACTTAATAAGTAACTTAAGTTAATTACAAGAAAAAATATTAACCTGTTATACAGTTTAAATATTGGAAAAATTATTTTATAATTAATTTTTAAAAATTATTTTTTATAATTAGTTTTTTAACACACACACAACTTTATGTATAAAATATATTTGTTATGTAATTCATACCGACATACAGTATTATTGTATAACATATTTCTTGAACATACTTAATTATGGCAATGACCTTGAATCTAAACATCCGATAAATTTATATACACTCTCAGTCGCGTAACACACTGTTAACGCCTAACCATAATAAACATTACACATGTGTTTTGACATACAGTACTACATTTCTAAATAAATAAAACTTAATTGTAATTGTGATTGTGATTAATCTAGCAACATTAAAAATGTCCACCACTCTCGACACGTTTAAAATAAGCGATTATATTCAGCCGGACATAAAGCAGCAAGTTACATATTTCCACGTTTTCGACGACTTAAAAAATACTCCCATAAGCGGTAACATACTATTCGTGACCACCGATGACAAGGTGTACGGTTTGGGCGTTAATAGCGAGGGTCAGCTGGGGTTGGGTCACAACCAGCCCGTCACGAGTCAGCGCGAGATCCAAGAGTTATGGGACCATAGGGTCAGACACTTCGCAAACGGGTTTGACTTTGTGCTGGCTATCAATGAGGACAACCACGTGTTCAGTTGGGGCCGCAATGCCGAGGGACAGTTAGGTCGAGCGGTCACTGAAGTGCTTTTCATGAGACCACAAAACATCGCGTATTTTAATGACATAAATATATCGCAAATCAGTTGCGGTTACTATCACTCGCTGGCGCTCACCACCGATGGACAGGTATATGGTTGGGGCGGTAATAGCATGGGTCAGGTAGGGTGCGGCGATAACCGTAAACATGTTATACAGCCTATACTGTCTAAGTTGCCTGGTGATATAAAAATAAAATTCATATACGCATGTCGATTTTACTCGTTTGCCTTAAGTATAACGGGGTTAGTGTACAGTTGGGGTAATAATGGTAACAATCACTTGGGATACAATACGGGTGGTGAACACTACGTGGTTAGTCCGCGATTGATATCGACGTTAAGCAATGTTAAAAATGTAACAGGGTCAGGTTTCAAGACATTTTTCCTGACAAACTCCGGTGAACTGTATGTGTGCGGAAAGGTAGCCCAGGAGGTGATCGATACGCCGCGACAGTTGGCGGTAAATGTGCAGCAGTTGTCCAGGGACAATCACTACAAGGACGTGGCGGCTATTCGTAAAAATGATAGTATCTATCAAATACTGCCGGATAATCAGATTTCACGTCGCGATGGTTACCAGGATATCGAGGATTTTTACGCGAAATTACTGCAAATAACGTATAATAATAGCATATATTTACTGCCACTTAATACAGACAATAGTAGTCATCGAGAATCGGATACGTCTAGTGACGAGTCGATTGAAGTGATCCAGAGATCGTATGTTAAGTCAAAGTCAAATACAATGTCCAGAAGTAGTGACCACTGGTCCAGAAGTACTGCCAACTCGTCCACAAGTAGTGGTAAGTATTAAATAGTTTTTTAATTTAAAATTAACGTATTTTTATTTAAAAGTTAATTTTGTTTAAACAGTTTCCACGATAAGCGGGAACTCATTACCAGAGAGTAATAGTTACGCGATTTTATTCAGAAACCCGGTTTTAGTGGGTTCGGGAGGTTTTGGGAAAGTATATAAAGTTAGGCATAAAATCGATAAACACAGGTATGCCGTAAAGATTGTTGAATTAAACGGTATGTTTGTTATGAAAATTTTAATACAAAATTATTAAACTATTAATACTTTTACTATAGATTTCACTGAAAGTCAAAAACAAAAGGCGTTTAGAGAAATGAAAGTTTTAGTAAAAGTCCGGTCAGAATATGTGGTCCAGTATTACAACTCATGGCTTGAAGGGAGTGTACTATACATTCAAATGGAGTTTTGTTCACAGAATCTGCAGAATATTCTCGAAGTTAAACCTCAAGAATTTAATCGACAATTAGGAGAAGCCATGGATTGTGTCGAGTATTTGATATCGTGTGAAATACTGATACAGATCTTAGAAAGTGTTAAATATTTACACGAATTGAATCCACAGATCATTCACAGAGACCTCAAACCAGAAAACATATTAATTACCGAAAATGTAAGGAACGGTAGATTTGTTAAGTTATGTGACTTTGGTTTGGCTACAGTTCACGATAGACGTGTTCACTACCGGACGACACGACAGCATACGGCAGATGTCGGCGACTTGAGATACATCGCACCGGAAGTAACTCAGGGCCAGAAATATAACCATAAGTGCGATGTCTATGCTCTGGCGCTAATTGGGGGCAAAATATTTGATTTTGACATATTTAACCTCGGTTTACCAAAGTATAATTACTTTTGTATAATGCACAAAATTTTAGTTTAATATTAATTTTTTTATTTTACCCAAAATAGCTCACCACCTTATAGTGAAACCTTATCAGTCCTAAACGCACCGGTACTCAAACTGAAGGGCACATTGAACTCAATGGTGAACCTGCAGTGGAATCAAAGGCCGGAATGCAGTGAAGTATTGTCCGAATATAACGAGTGGTCTATCGATAGGAATATTCTCACAAATGATCCCCGATTTCGGCGAACATTACGTAGACTTCAATCCAATGATAACTCATTTTTCAAACAAGTGTCACATTATTTGAATTTAATTTAAAATTTCTGATAATAAACTTTATAAAAATTAAAAGTATTCATTTTTATATCAGTAATATTTATGTGAGATATTTATTATTAAGAAAAATATGTTACTTTTATGTTTCATATAATTTAGTATATTTTATATACAATATCTACTATAGTATAAGTTTAAATATTTTTAGCACATTAATTAATGGACATTCATTTTCTGAGTAAATATATTTTTAATCAAATATTATTTATTTAATAAAATTTATTACTAAAACGTTTGAAACAAGTTAATATATAGTACTAATTTCCATATTAATATGCAGACTAGTAACCCAATCTAACCATGTACTTTATATGTGTAGTTCCCTATAATACTTAAAGTAAATATACAATATATTAAAATGTATAAGTTAATTTTTATAGAAATTCAGCAATGATATGCTACTAACATAATTATTTTCTATATTTATACATGAATTTGTTTAGGTTTAGTGTTAGCATTATATTTAAGGCTAGTAATAACGTGAGCCACTTGAGGGTGCTAGGCACAATCATAATAATGTACTGGTATTTACAAATGTTTTGCACAAATAGACAATTCATTAAAATGAGTTGAAATGTACGCTAAATGTCTATAACAGTTGCCCATAAAGTGTACCCAAAACATGTTGGAAAAAAGTTTTTAAAATAAAAGTTTGTTCATGTTTACTTTTGTTATGTACAAATTAATAATATTAATAGTTTTAGCTAATTCATTTATCACACCAGGATCGTTACCACTTGAAACACGTAAAATTAATAAAACACCAACTAGGGTATAAATAATTTATCATGGTAAAATGAACATAGCGCATTTTATTTTAACCTAGAGTAGTGGTGAAGTTTATTTAAAATGTATGCTTATATGTTGATATAAAAGTAAGCTAGATGCGACTAATACTATATTACAAGTAAACTAATCAGAATATGACCAAGATGAGTTGATCGTAGTGACTATAACCGGCACAATGACCACGTGCAACACGTGCGACACATTACTACAATTATACTCATATAAAATCGCTCTTAATATCTCCGCGCGACTCATCCGTTGCGTTAAAATATACCACATTTTCGACGATTCAATGAATGAGAAAAACATATTGTTTGCGACGAACGACGACTTAGTGTACGGTTTGGGCGGTAATGGCGGTGGATGTCTGGGCGCGGGTCACGACCGCCCGCTCGACACGCGGGCACTCATACCAGAGTTGTGTCGAAAAAGTGTTAAAAAGTTTGTCAACGGATGGGACTTCGCGATAGCGCTCACGGATGGCCACCGTATGTACAGTTGGGGCGCCCATAGCGAGGGACAGTTGGGTCGCGCGGCGGTGAGGGTTACCGGTGTTTGCCATAAGCCAGAGGTGATCGCGTTTTTCGATGACCTGGATGTACGTCAAGTGAGCGCCGGTTCCCAGCACTCGCTGGCCCTCACACACGATGGACAGGTATACGGCTGGGGCCGTAACCGTGAGGGACAGGTAGGTTACGGTGATACCGGTGCTCAACCTGTTGACACACCACTTCTCATACGGTTCCCGAATAACGCGAAAATCAAATCCATTTATTGCTATAATTGGCGCTCATTCGGGATCAACCCCGCGGGACAGGTGTTCAGTTGGGGCGACAATAGGGGCCACCAGTTGGGACACGAGGTGTCCGGCGATCGCGTAGTGACCCCGCAATTGATTGCGACCCTCGCGGCGGCGGACATCCAGTCCATAGCCTCCTCAGCGCTCGCGACATACTATCTCTCAAACACCGGTCGACTGTATTTCAGCGGAAAGTGTGACGAAAACTATGAGATAATACCCAAACAGATAGCGACAGGCGTTCAGCGGTTGTCCGCCGGTAATAACCCGTCAAATGTGGTCACAATCCGTATGAATGATACCATCCATGAGGTGTTGGCAAATGCGACGTTGAGAGACACCAACTTTACCACGTTTAGAGAATATTACGCAAAAACGTGCCAGGTAACCTATCACCAAGCTCACTGTGCCACAACTATAGGCAATAGTCATGACTATTTGGATCTCAACGAGCGTACAACAGTCACGTTAGTCTACCCGTCCGAGAATGATAGTAAGAATTTAGCATGATAACTATACTGAATGTTTACTGCTAATTAATTAACTATGTTGACTATATTCTGTATTTCATCTAGGTGAGCAAATACAATTAGATATAAAGTTAACTTTTGCTCATATAAGTCTACAAAACCACTGGACACAAGTTGGGCAGCCAAGTGGTTTTGGCAAAGTATTCAAAGCGAGGGATAAACACGATGAGCAATTATTTGCTATTAAAGCAATAGATATGAAATGTATATCAAATTAACTATATATGAGATAATATACATAAGAATGTGATATGAATTTGTGAACACAAACTGTAAGATATTCTGTATTACAGGTAGAGTCAGATATTGACAGTTAATACAGCAATAATTAAAACAGAAATAAAGTTATATTTTATTATATTTTACTAAATTTTTTTGTTTTTATTTTAATTATTGCTGTATTAACTTATGATGTTTGCTGGTACCTGTAGTACAGACTATTTTGCAGTTTGTGTTCATAAATTCATATCACATTCTTATGCATATATCATCTCATATTATATAATATGTGAATATATTTAATTAATAAGCATTTCATCATAGATTTTATTGGCAATGAGAGACAAACATTAATTCGTGAAATTGAGTGCTTAGTAAATGTTCGCTCAAAATATGTCGTAAAGTGCTGTGATTTTTGGACTCATGACAACCATCACTACATTCAGATGGAGTACTGCCCGCAAAATCTGCAGAATATTCTTGAACTGAAATTACAAGTGTTTGGCCGACAGTTAGGCGAACCTATGGATTGTGTCGAGTATTTCATTTCGTGCGAAATATTCCGTCAGATCTTAGAAAGTGTTCAGTTTTTGCATGAATTGAATCCACAGATCATTCACAGAGACCTCAAA